ATTAAATTTAAATAACCTTAGCACTGTTTTTCATCTTGTTCCCTTTAAACACTGCAATTGATTGTAGGAATAGTAACTTTTTGGAGACGTCCCTGTAGCCTGGCTTCATACCTAGTCATTTTTTACATAGTCAAGCTGACCATATCTACCAAGTTCAACCTATAAAGAAATAATAAATCGAAAACCTCCATAAACAGAACCCTATGTCCACAGTTGATCCAGAGGAAGGCAAAAGGCCCATATAAATCATGGTTCGGTTGGCTCCAACAGGGTAAAAATTCCTTCCTGATCCTCTAAGGCAATCTGACATTCCCTAGATCAGAAATCTCTGGTGCTATTATAACATTGCTATCCAGTTACGTTTTGCACATTTAGGAATGTTTTCAGATATTTTTTAAACCATTAAATGAGCTAGCTAGAACTAGTTCCTGAGATGGACTACTCCACATTTTGACAGCTTTAACTGTGTAGAAGTCTTTTCCCTATGCAAAGGTTAAACCTCCTTTCCTCCAGAGTGCCTTCTTGTCCTGTGCAATGACCTTAAAGTGAATAACTTAGCTCCAAATTCATTATGCACTGTTTAATATATTTATGCATTGTGATCATATCCTCCCTTAATTGCCTCTGCCTCATATTGGCATTATACACTGAGTGGCCAGATTATTATGACCACCCCATCAGTACTTCGTTGGGCCACGAGATGACTCCACGAGATGACTTTGTTGGGCCGCCTCTTGACTCCACGAGATGTTGGAAGGTGATGCGAGGAATCTGACACTGCACTGTTGCCCTTCTGTTGTCTTGTACCAGTCTTGCCACTCTCCATTCTGCCCTAACATTGACAAGTCGCTAACGGCCACAATTCGCACATTCAGACCCAGATTTTCGGCTGACAGTCCAGTCTTTAAATACTTTAACAACAGCTGCTCTTGAACATTTAACGATTTCTGCTGTTTTGCTGATACTCGCTCCATGGCTCCGAGCGCCAACAATCATCCCACGTTCAAAGGCTGTTAAATCGCGTTGTTTACCCATATCTTCAGAAAAAAGAAATCACCTTTTACTGTCGTGGTAAACAATCTGCTTCGCCATTTATAACGGTCTGGCCTTCTAGCAACTTCAGCGCGAAATTATAGCCAATTTGCCTACAAACATCAGGTGGTCATAATAACCTGGCCACTCAGTGTATGTCTTTAAAAGGGTTTCTCACCAAATGTGAAAAAATGAAATTACCCCACAAATCTGCCCCCTCTCCCCGCCATTCCCTCCAATGCAGACCGTGTACAGTACGTACACCAAACTGCAGCCCTGAACTGATCATTTCAAATAACACTTGCAAATGGTAAGCGCTCATTGGTCTGCACTGTCACCTGACCACACTGACCAATAATTAGTGCTTCTGGTGTACAGTCCGGACACCAGCTGTGGTGGTGGGGGAATGTGTTTCTCACAAAGCTATGACCGGTGGGGGTAATTTCATTTTTTTTTTTTTTTTACATTTTGGTGAGAAACTGGAGTTACCCTTTAAAGCATACTATAAGCAAGTAAGTATTCGCCATTCTGCATAGTATAGTAAGGACTAGCCAGAGACTGATCACTTTGGTATAGCTGAACATGTATTGCAATATGTGTGAACCAAGAATCCCTGTTTGTTTTTTCTTGCTAAATTTTGCAATAGTTTAATTCAGAATTTAATGATCACTCAGCATAGCATGGCCCAACCACCTTCTTGCAATAACGCTCAGCTAGGTCTCTGAGCAGTACACTGAGCAAATGCATGTTGCAAATATTTTTTACAAGCAAGTCTCCTTTACTAGGTAGATTTTGATTTCATCTGTGGTGGCCCTTTAACCAGTCTACTGTATGCTGTATACTGTATGTGATTGGAAATTCTTTGACTATTGGCTTGTATTATAGCACAGACAAGGCATTTCATTACTTCATTATTCTCCTAAAACAAGAGACACTTGTTCTGCATTGCATTTTCTTCATTTCTTTAAACTAATTTAGCAGCTTTATGAATAGGCTTTTGCAAACATAAGCAGATTCTGTGTGGCACACAACAGCAATCATTTATATAAAAGTACTGTTTCATGGAAAGCATCAGTGCTGTAATTGCAAAAAAAAATGTAATGCCATCACTTACAGAAGATTCATTTATAGATCAAGATGAGCAATAACACTCTGTTGCTTGTTGTGCAAAATAATTTGACCTTGGTGAAAGGCTTCTAGTGTGTTTTTAATACTCCCTGGTAGCTGAAATATTGCTCAAGGACTACTACATTTTTATGATAAAGACGAAATGATACATTATCTCCATCTATCACTGACTTTTGCAAGCCCAGCCAGAAAATGTTTTCCAGTAAAGAGTTATTCTGGATGTTAAGCAATGCTTGGTATGTTAGGATGCTTGTATGTGGACACAATGTATAATTATAATAAATCGTTCCCCAATCTGTATGTTTTATATAAAGAACACCTAAAAAGATAAATGTATCTGTAGCAGTGTTATTTCTTATGCAAGGTAACCTATTATGTGCTGCTGGTGAAGTATCACCTGGTGACATGAAAAGTTAGGAAGAGCTGTCCTGGCATGTAGTATAGATTGGATGGACATAGGTGAAAGGGATCTTCAAAGAGTCCTTTTCATATTTTATGTAATGATCATATATCCTTTCATTTTAGTTCACACTATTTGGAGATGGTATAAATCTAAGTGGCACCGATATGTTTTTGTTAATCTTAACTTATTCACCAACTATGGTAAGTACATATGCTTGTACAGGACAAAGCAACAGGTTCAGATTTATGGAGAACCCACCAGCAGGGCTTAAACTTGCCTTCTGCTTACTCCCCCCACCGCTCTGTTTACTCATTGGTAGCAAAATTATATACCTGGTACATCTAGGTATCTGGTAGCATGTGACCAACTTCCATCCATCCACATGACAGCATTGGTAATTGGTTGTTCAAACACCCAGCAGTGTCACATGGGGAGAAGAGGTGTTCCTTAGCTCTAGGTAAACTCCAGGTTGCGAAATGGAGCTTATGCAGGGCTAACTCTGCTCGCTTCAAGCAGCCAGAGTGATGGGGGTAGTAGTTACACATAAAGTAAATGGGGGTTACACATGCATATTATGGTTTGGATCATGCCTGCGCTTCAGGACAGAATATTTTCCAAATATTGAATAGTGCTTTATACAAGGTTGGCATGTTAATGCCTTCATCCTGGGAGCTGATTGCTTGCAGGCATCTGTTTACCCCTATAAATCTACAACTGATGCAGCTGAACATAACCAGACCATGCCACTGTCACCTCAAATCAAAGCAATGTTCTCTCTCATGCAAGTCTATCAGTTTTGTTAGGGCTCATTGGTGTTGTTTTTCTTCATTTGACATGTTTGGTTACTAGCATTTGATGTGCACTTCAAATTGCCATTAACTTTAATGGAGTCGTACACATGACAGTTGAGAGGTTGCATTTGACCTGCTTTGTGTTGCACTGCATTTCTTTGAACACAGCAGGTCCTATTGAGGTGCATTTGAACTGCAGGCAAAGCAGATTGACCAAAGCCTTTTATTGTCGAGTGCTGTGCTCTTTTTGAACGAATGCAGTTACCTTTGCAAGCAGATGGCTGCAAAACACTTGTTAACAGTAGCCCTTAGACTGATTGGGAAATAGGATAAGTTTGTCACCTAAAGCCTTTTTCAGGATACGTCAGAAGAGATGCTTACCATATTCCATGATACATATACACTGAGTGGCCAGATTATTATGACCACCCCATCAGTACTTCGTTGGTCCACGATATAACTCCACGAGATGACTTCGTTGGGCCGCCTCGTGACTCCACGAGATGTTGAAAGGTGATGCGAGGAATTTGACACTGCACTGTTGCCCTTCTGTTGTCTTGTACCAGTCTTGCCACTCTCTGTTCTGCCCTAACATTGACTAGTCGCTGACGGCCACAATTCGCATGTTCAGACCAGATTTTCGGCTGACAGTCCAGTCTTTAAACACTTTAACAATGAGCCCCTCTTGAACATTTAACTAATTCTGCTGTTTAGCTGATACTCGCTCCATGGCTCGTGCCAACAATCATACGACGTTCAAAGGCTGTTAAATCGCGTTGTTTACCCATATCTTCAGAAAAAAATCACTTCTACTGTCATGGTAAACAACCTGCTTCCCTATTTATAATGGTCTGGCCCTCTAGCAACTTTAGCGCGAAATTATAGCTAATTTGCCTACAAACGTCAGGTAGTCATAATAAACTGGCCACTCGGTGTATAAGTTAACTAGAGATGAAAATATACATAAATGTGAACTGAAGTCCTCAAAATAAAACAACGCATTTACAATTGTAAAAGTTACATCAAACGTTACAGCAAAAAAAAATCCAAAAACTTAAAAGACTTGCTTACAGAAAATGCACTTTAGTTACCCTCTCATAAAGACTTATATGGAATATTACCTTGTTTTAGGTGTTAAAGGACAACTATGGGGTCAGGGCTTTTCCCCATAGTTCAGCTCGCGGTATACTGAGACGCCGCAGCGGATCCCGACAGCGATGTAGAGATCCGCCCAGCTGCGTGAGTGACAACTGGCTCTGCCTATCTAGAGGCAGAGCCATCTGTACCCGCCCCCTCCCCCGTCCGTTCCGCCAGTCAGCGCTGGCGGAGAGGGGAATCCAGCCCCTCCCCTGTCACGGCAGAGAGCCATGACAGGATCGAGAGGTGAGCGAACCCGGTATGTGTTCGCTCACCTCCCGATCTACTGACAGTCTCATTGTCACAGGTTGGCTAGAACTATGAGGTGAGTGAAAAGCACTCGCCTCATAGTTCTGCTTTAAAGTGCAGTGAGGTTTTTTTTTTCCTGTGCCTAACTGAAAACATTGGTCATTTGCCTCTGCATTTATTTGCAAACGTGTCTGTATATGCACGGTAATGGGGCTTCCTGTAATTGCTATGTCATAAATTACTGTGGTTTTCTTTTCCAGACATTGTGCATGAAAACCTGAAAATGGGATCTGATGGAGAAAGTGACCAGGCCTCTGGAACCTCATCTGATGAAGTCCAGTCACCAACAGGTGTTTGCCTCAGGAATAGAATACACCGAAGAATTTCAATGGAGGTATTATTAATGACATCCTCTCTCTGAGTTGTGTCTGTGAAGCACATCAAAGGCATTTTCTTGTTTCCGTGCCAGTTTGACAGAATACCTACGTTTTAGGTAGTGAATCCTCCTAATGAGTTTTCTTTCACGGTAAAAACAAAAGGCCAGTTTTCTTTGTCATACTCACCTGCTGCAACTTTTTGAGATGAGAAAGAGGGACACTTTTTTTTCCCCCCTACAAAATATGGAGGTTATGGTTTGGTTAAATCCACTTGTGTCTTGTTTTTTTATTTACTCTTTTTCGTGGCATTGGCTATTCAAAAAATAAAATCTTTAAATTAGAGGTTGATTAAAATGTACTTACCAAAAATGTTCTATTGCATAAAGCCTTTCAAAGTACTACTTTTTAAAACATTTTTTATAGAGGTCTGTGTATAAGATCAAGAAGGACAACTAAGAAGGAAAAAAAAGCGAGGGTTTTGGTTCCAAATGAGGGATAGCTCAGTTCTTATTATTATTAGCAGGTTCCAGTAAAACCTGCTTTTTTTTGGTTTAGATTTTCTCAGTTCCCTGATTGGTGTTAATGATTTTAGCCCTCTGGGGCCACCTCTGCTGTCACAGGTGAGGAAATGTATACGTAGACATTAAGTGATCTGTCTGGATTGCTTGCTAACCCCATGTCTACAGATTCCTGCAGACACCCTTCCAGATATGTCCAGATATGTATGACTGCTCATCCTTTCTCCATAGGCACATTCATGCTCACTCAGTTAATCAGAATATGCATATTTATTGCAAAATCTTTTAAAACAAAGACCTCTGTGAACAAATTGAAACCTGTGATACATTGTCTCAAGAAAGGTCTTAAAGCATTTGTCCACCACTGGTATACTGAGTTACAAGTTGTGACCTCTGGATGCTAGTTTGGAATATTTTTGTTAATCTTGAAATTATAATTTTTTTTTATTTCATTTCCATTTTTTGTTTTCCATTCCCATGAATTTTGTAAGAGGGGGAAACCATGCAACACTATAACCCCCGGATTTTACCTTCCTTAAGGTGGGGTGCATGAAAGTGGTGATAGGGTATAGTCCACATGGAAAAAGAAAAATCTGCCCATCTGAAATATTAGAAAACCATTCAAACAAATAGTTGATGTTTCAGCTACACACAATGCCTGCCTTCCTCACAACAATAAAATGCTCACAAGAAAGTATAATATTGCGGGGGAGATATTTTATAGTACAGTTCTTGAAACAATGTACCACAAGGGTGTTAGTGTGCCCATACACCGTGCAAATTTTGCACAGTCGGCACCGTTTTGGCCTGCATCCCTCTAACAGTTGATCGAGGGAGCCGACCAGAAAATCTTCGTACAGCGTCCCCTGTCAGAATACAATGCGATCAAGCGGGATTCCTGGATCAACACGCTTGTAGTGTTGATGGAGGAATCGGCTCCATTTTTCTTTTTTTCTGTACAGCCTGCAGTTTGAACGTGGAAAATAGAGCAGTGTATGCAAATAATTTCAATGTGATATTTATGCCATTACTAATATAGCAAAGATTGGAAAAAACATTCAGAAAGCTCAAACTTTGCTCAACCTCTAGTCTTCATCCAATAAAATGTATTTATGCAATTCTTGGCATTGGATCGATGTTCTGTTCTGTTCTGCTGAAGTGTGACTATGAAATTAATTTAATAATGGAGAAGATGCTACCGGTGTTTTTATTGTGTTTAAGTGCAATTGATGTACATTGGCAATAAAAGTAAAAGAACAGCAGCTGCTACTTAATGGAGATTAAGGAAGATGGCAGCAATACGTTTGAATTGAATGTTGGGTCATTTGTACAATCTTTCGAAAAGTTGGCATAGCATAATATAAATGCATTCTATACATTTTAACGGATGTTTCATATTTTAATAGTGCTTCAAATCAGAAGAAAACATTAGACAACTTAAAAGACAAGAAAATCATTGTCCCAGATATAGAAATGGCAGAGCATAGAATACAAACTTAAGTAAAGATTTTTGTAGTGTGGTAAAGTTTTGCGGTTGCCATCTGCCTGCATTGGGCTATGGTAACCACATTGTGAACCACATCCTTTGACATATATAGTGACAGAATGCCATACAGATGCTGCTTGGACATGTGGTTGCTTTTAAAGTCAGAAAAATGTGAGCAGAGGAGAATAACATATAGCTATCTCTAGACTTTGCCCATGATACCTCTGTTGGGCTGGTAAATGGAATTCAAGGTGACAGCCCCACATTTAAAATACAGCAGGAGAATATAATAACAAAACACATGAATTTAGCAAAGTATAAAAAGAGGTTTTAACTTGACCTAGCCTTATTCCCTACTTAAGGTTCCAGGTAGACCCTTAGTATAGCACTTTGAAAGATGTATAATAGCTATAATATAATGTGATCTTCTAATCCACCTGTCGGTTTTATAGTATATATGCTGACTTCAAAGATTTATTTTACAAAGTAATGCCAAGAACTATGGTAGAGTGTAAAGAACCACATCCTTTGACATACCTTAATAACCAGAGAAAGGATAAAGTTTCCTGATTGGTTATGAGGTGTTATTGCACTTTTTGCTTAATAAGTGATCAGGTCATTGTTTAAAGAAAAGTGGGGTATTTGTAATGTTTTTGTTATTACATTGGAGATTATGTAGACCAGGGGTGCCCACAAGGTCGATCGCGATCTACCAGTCGATCGCGTAGCGATAACTGGTAGATCACACTGTCCTCTCCTCCCGCCGCTTCTCTGGATCCCCGCTGCTCCCCCCAGCGGGGATCCGAGAAGAAGTGAAGGAACTGGCGGCGGGGGAGGGCGGAGCCGCTGTCGCAGAACTAATGAAGAGTGGTGAGTAGAGAGAGAGACGCTCGGCCAGGATCTGACAGCCGGCGCCTCTATCTCCCCTCACTGCTCGTCCGTTCTGTCACAGCGGCTCCGCCCCCGTCCCCCACCCCCCCGCGGCTGAAGTGCTCTTTCACTTCTCGTCGGATCCCCCCGCTGCCTCTGCCCGGGAGAGCAGGGGGATCCAGAGGAGAAGCTGAGCCCCCTTGTGCGTGGACGAGCGGCAGAGGATCGGTACATGTCACTAGTATCTACCAATCCTCTGTGCAGGACAAACACTGGAGCGATCGGCTGATCACTCCAGTGTTTCTAAATAACTGGGGACACATAGTACTATGAATGAATGAACAGGATGTGATTTACATCACGTCCTGTTCATGCATGAGTTTCTCAATGGGGAGAAGCACTGTGTACAGAGGCTCCTCCCCATTCAGAAACTGCTTGATAGTAAAATATTTTCTGAATGAATGGGAAGCCTCTTTGCTTTCCATTCATTTAGAATAGAGGCTGCAGAAAAAGAGAATGAGGACTTTGTGTCCTCAATTTCTTTTTCTATTTTAAAAAAAAAGTTTAAAAAAATTTACGAAAATTAAAAAAAATAAAAATAAATAATGAAAAAATAGTAAAAAATTAATTAAAAAAACGTTTTGTTTTTTCTTGCCTCAGGTGCAAAAGGAGCTGGCTACGGCTATGCTCCTGTGGCGCTCGTGCGGCTGACGGCTGAATGTGTCAGACACTGCAGATGGAAAGGTGCAGGACACCCCATGTGCAACGTCAGCCACACGAGCACCACGAGAGGACAGGACGCCAGGACCTGTAGGGACGCACTGGAATGTAAGCCGGCAGACTCCCTACGTTCAGGTGCGGGAGGGGGTATGGAGCTGTATTGAAGTCAATGGCATTGCCCACATTGCGATCGCCCACACTCGGAACGCAGGCACATTAGTGCCTGCATTCCGGTCCAGTGCGATCTGGAAAAATAGTGCTCGCAGAATTTTTGCGGATCGCACTGGACTGGAACACAGGCACTAATGCAGGCGATCGCACTGTGGGCGAGAGGCCTGCCTGCGGAGCCTGGCTGCGGTGCCATTGACTTCAATGCACCGCCACGCCCCCTCCCGCCCCTGAATGCAGGTGTTTTTTCGTTGGTATATCTCAATGAGCTCGTCATTTTAAAAGTAGATCTCCAGACGAAAAATAGTGGGCGCCCCTGATGTAGACATTCCATGAAATGCAATGTTTATGGGTAAGGCCCCCTTCACACGGGCTGATTAGGCAGGGATCTGTGCACAGATCCCCTAATAACCGGAGCAGTACAGATCAGATGTCACCGCTGTGACATCCACGTCCTTCCAGTTTTTTTTACCTCCATCGCAAGAAAAAGTGATAGGTGGACCTGATTGTACCGCCCGTGTGAAAGGGGCATTGGAGTCCGTACTTTGCTCCATTGTGTTGGTGAGTGCTGAACGGTGTGTCCATTGCCTTGCATTAAAAAAGAAGTGTGCAGATAGTGCCTTTGCATTGAATTGAAGGAATGGGTCATGAATGCCAAATCAGTAGGCAGGATTTAGTTAGTGTTGCTGTCTATATTAGAATAGTTTTTCTGTGTTTTTATTTACTTTTTAAAAGCCCCTCAGCGGTGCTTTAAAATTAGATCCTAGATGCCATGAAAGCTAAGCATGCCAGTCTAGCTGCCTAAATTAGGGCACCAAAGTATTCACAACAAGCAGAACGCAGTAATTATAGTAATTTATCAAGCGTTTCTGACACTGCTTCCCATTAATGCTGGGAAGTGCTGTCTATTCCAAACACTGAGGAAGCCCAAACGTTTATGAAATGTACAGGGATCTTTTATGTACTGTTGTGTCATGGGCTTGTTCTTAGGGCATACCACGGAGAGCAGGAATGTTCTAGTCTCCTTGTGATCTTGTCATTGAAACATTAGCTATTATATCAGCATTCATGTAGATTTTTGGGACTTATCTTTTTACATTTGGAATGCTATTTATCAGTTTTCCATTGTTAGGAGTTTAAAATAAAAATGTGGTTCTTCTATTAGAGTTGTTAGCCATGTTTGTGGTGGGTTACATTTTTTTTAGCTTATTTGCTTTCCGGAGCCACAGGTTTTACACATCTATATTAACTGGAATATTGTATTTTATATTGTACATATATTATGTGGTGTCATAGAGATGAAAGTGCAAGCTAGCTACCATAAGATTTCTTTCCAAATGGCATAATCAAACACCACATATCTTTAGTGGGGAATGCCGTCTCATGAATACAATGCTTGTGAAAATACTGCACTCTACTGGATTCTTTTTAATACTTCAAGGAAAAAGCTTGTGGTTTATGTTTCTCTATAATGGGTTGTTTTCTTACGGAAGGTTTATCCTTACTGCTTTATAGCAGTGGGGAGAAAAGTGTTTTTAGACCACATTTGCACTACTGCTTTTTTTTTTTTTTTTTTTTTTTTTTAGTGCAGTGTGATTTCCAAGTAGTGGGTTTTAGGCATGCCATCGACATACAACCATTTATCAATATGTAAAGCGTGGGATGCAGGATCTTTTTTAACACACAGCACTAAATTACTACCATCTTAATGGCAAACTGATGTTTCTGCAGAGCTGCCATTAAGTCATTCATTGAAAGTTTTAGGGGTTGTTCACACCATGGTCGTTGAGCTGCATTTTTCTGCACACCATCACACATGTATGGTGTGAACAGGAAATGAACAATAGAAATTACCAGCACTCCGTAAATGAAATTCAAAAAAAGTCCATTTATTTGGACTAAACGTCACACATCGCATAATCCAACGTTTCGGGGCCACGCAGGATCCCTTCATCAGGGCAGAGATGTGACTGTTTTCTGGTGTGAACAGGACACACAAAAAACCATTGTGTTCTATAGTCCCCATTCACATCATAAATGGGTGCTGGTGTGCAGAATAACGGATCAACAGACACGGTGTGAACAAGCTCTGATTGTTTTTAGTGCAGATTGTCTCAGCATCTATCTGCAAAAGTTTTAACGGCAATTTTTTGACTCTGCAAGACTTACCACTGATCATTTGTAAAAAGAAAATCATTGTAACCAAAATAGAATTTCCAATTGGTTGCCCATGACAAGTTTTTGTATCACTTAGCGGAACTTTACCCATATCTTAAAAATAACAAATACTGATTTAGAAATGTTTAGTAATGACAATCTACAAACACATACTTCTAAATAATTGCAGGCTGCCTATTCTTTGCATACCTTTTTTTCCCCTCCCCCATTCTTAACACAGTGGCTATTTTTACTAAGGGAGAATTAATCCTCCCTATATTTCCTGGAACTCTGGCCCATGTGACCATGCACATCATCTTAGGGGAGGAAAATGCCCTTCCCTGAGATCTCATGAGATTACACATGAGATTTCCCACTTGGGCACAATACATAATTTGTGTCAAAGTGGACCAGGAAAGAGAAAAACTGTAAGTAAAATAAAAATGTTTAATGTAAGATTTCATATCGGCATGCAGAGCTGCACGCTGAGGTGATTTTTAGTAAAAAGGGGTAAAGGTCCACTTAAAACAGGTGATAACCCCAATTCTATTAATGTACACTTGTATGATTCTTCATCACTGTTTGTAAGTTGATTTAAAAAAAACAAAAAAACTTATGAAAGTTCTGTTTTTAGCACTTCTGGTTTTATCTAAATACTAAATGGCATCAAAAATCTTTTTTAATTGCTTTAAAGAGACTCCTTATCTCATTTAAATGTAATTATCCATTTGGAGACAAAATCTTTAATGTTACATAAAAAGATAATTGAATTTCACCTCATTATTCATGCTTTCTCTCCTTTAATCGCCATGATCAAGGGTGATAGAGCAGCGTTGTTAGTGAGTCACTCATCTTTACAGCTGACAGCACTCCCTGCCTGAAGCAAATATAAACTCTGGAGGCAGCTGATTCAATATGATGGTATACCGATTTGCACTAGAGTGTAAATCCGTATTATTCAGCCTGCTGGGAATTACATGTATTACTGAACCGACATCTTCAGCCCTACAAGAGTAATGGAGCTCCTTGCTTTGACTACCCCTTGATGTAATCTGACATTTGAAAGTTTATCCTATCAGCATGTATTTATTTATTTGGTCTTCAGAAATATGTAAATTTCATGTTTCATGCAAGACTAAATGCCCTTGCTAATGCTGACGTATAGCATTGTGCTTATAGGAGACCTAAAACCAATGTTGGAAAACAAAGGCAAAAAAACTTAGTATATAAAGTGAAAAAACAGTATGTTGAAGGTCCAATTCATACTTAAATGATCCACTGCGGTGTGTTACGCTGTGTCTTCAAGTCTTTTGCATTAAAGTAGAATTCTAGGTAAAAATTGTATTAACCCTTGCTTGCATTGGGCCTACTCCTACATTGCAAGGGTTCAGTACTTTTTGTCTAGATTCCAAAACACCAAACATATACTCAACTGATACTCCAAGGCGGCTTGCTCTTAGACCGGTCCCTCCAGCCCCTCCGCTGCAGCAATGGTATGTCACTCGGCGTCCTCACGACCAATACACAATATATTGGACGTGATGATTCATGGGAACTGCCGCAGCAGAGGGGGAGCTAAGCGGAAGGGACCAGTCTAAGAGTTGGCTCAAAGGGGCACGGGGAATAAGAAACCCTGTATAAGTTCCATAGTCGGAGCTTACAAGTGCTGAGGTCTTGTGTGAAAGGGGAGTAATTCACAGTCTCCTCTCAACCTGAAACTACCGTGTATTTCTAGGCAGGGTGTGTGTGGAGGGTGGAAAGGGGTGGGCGCATGCGCAAAGGGGAGGTAAACATCATCTGCTCTATGGACCATCATTAAACTGAACCCATTGCTTTGCCTTTTATAGGCAACTTAACCATGGCAAAATTTCTATCCTGCCGCCATTTTGAATCTCATTCTCAGATGTGTTGCAAGTCCCTACCAGATATTCGGTATCTGCATGACATCTGCACACCTGTTGATTCCTAAGCGTGCGGACAAATGCCGCTGGTTTCTGATATCTGGGACTTTGTAAATCTCTCAGGTATTTGTGACACATCTGCACAAGTGCCAATCTCATAGGGCCATCCTTGTGTAATTCTTGCCTAGGCAAGGAATCTGCATAAAAAAGGTACAATTATTTGTTTTAAAAAAATTATTTTAAAAAATGTTTTCAATTCCTAAGAGGGAGTGTAAAGGAACCAGAACATAGTTTTTGAAATGGGTAAAGGTCCACTTCAAGGAATTATCATCATTAAACACTGATTTCTCTGACAAGCTTCATCTGATGAATACATTTGATAACTTTTTCTGTTTTAGTGAACCACTAATACTGATGGAACAACCCTTAGGTAGATGCAATACAGCAAAACAGTTTAATGGTAAAAAAGAATAATCTGTGTAATATGCTTTTTGTCAGGACCTAAATAAACGTCTGTCACTTCCGGCTGACATCAGGATACCTGATGGATATTTGGAGAAGCTGCAGATAAATAGCCCACCATTTGATCAACCTATGAGCAGGCGATCACGGAGAGCGTCACTGGTAAGTTCTGGGAATTCTAGCAGTGCAAGCTGTGCTTTTTTATGCGTTTTTGTTTGTTTTTTCTCCAGTTATGCTCATTTTCATTTTAGTTGATCTATAATGCATTAAAAACATTAACTGTGTACATTTAATCTGCAAACTATTTTTCCCCCCTATTAAATACATTGGAATATATTTCCTTTCAATTACATGTATCTAAACCCAAGAAAGAAGAAAAATATATTGCAGCTTATTAGTCTGCAGATGTGGTTGCTGCATTAGTTTTCTGTTAAGGTTTTTTTTCTGTTTGCGCCTGGTAAATCTGCGAATAACACACTTGGTACTATGGTGGCAACGCTTACTGCTCCATTGTCACTATGGAAGGGAGCCATAGTTGTCATCCTGGCTGGACCACAAACATGTTTGGCTTTATTCATCTCCATTACATGGTGGACGATGGGATTAGCAGGCTACATAAGAAAGATAACAGTTTTTTCTATTTACAGTTCATCTCACAGGAAGTGACACACACTGCATTTATGTCCGAAAATGTTCTGCTTAGGGAAAAAAAGAAGTGCAGCTACCACATCTAAGCAATAGTAAAACTGCAATATGTAAAATTTTTGTTCTTGAGTTTAGTTATACCGTATATACTCGAGTATAAGCAGAGTTTTTCAGCCCATTTTTTTTGCTGAAAAGTGCCCCCCCCCTCGGCTTATACTCGAGTCAGCGTCGTCCAGTTGTCAGGTTTCTTCTTACTTACCTCGCCGAGCGTCGCGTCACTGCTGCTCCGGTGGGCGGCGCTCCGAGCGGGGTCATCTGGCAGTCTCCGGGTCCTAATTTAGGTGGCCGAAGACTGCCAGATGACCCCGCTCGGAGCGCCGCCCACCGGAGCAGCAGTGACGCGACGCTCGGCGAGGTAAGTAAGAA